TTTGCTGTAGAGTCGCGGAGTAAGGAGTTGATCCTTGTGTCGCGGGTGCGAATCCAACTGCGATACGTGGAGACCGGTCTTTTGAATGAGGCAGTATAAACTGAGATCCCGTGTCGCAGTAGGCGCTGGCAGGAAAAAGATCCCTCAATGCTCAAAGGCCCTAAGTGCCGAGTACAGGTCTAACTTTGCAACAAGTGGTGGCGTCTCAATATGAGTGAAACAAACAAAAAACAAACAAATCTCATTCACTCGTCATCTCGTTGTTTACTGATAACGTCACTGAAAAGGGGAGATACTCTAAATTTAACCGCAAATAATGCCAAATTGGTAGGGAGATTGTGAATTAAACGCGAAAATAGAGCTCGCATTTTTCTTTAAATCTAGTTGACATAACGTTTTTTCGCCATGTTGCCTTCCAAAGTTTGCAACTCGGCCGCCCTAAGAAATATTGAAAGCAGCCACGTGACGTCTGTTTTCCAACGACAGAGCGTCATTTTAGTCGGAGGCAAAACAAATCGAAGTCCCGTGTCGCAGTAGGTGCTGGCGCGAAAAAGATCCTTCAATGCTCAAAGGTCCAAGGTACCGAGTACAGGCCTCCACCGGCAAGTGGTGGCATATCAATATGAGTGAAAAATTCTCGAAGGAACGTTAAACAAACAAACAAACTTTGTTGAGAGGGATATGAAAAGTTGAAATATGATGAGCTGACGTACATTTATAACTTAATCTGAATAATCCAGAGGACTTACGTATTGTTCAATTTCTAGAGGTCAATGTTCATGGGGAACTTTTCAAAATATTTGACTAGTTCGTGGTAATATAATATAATTTGGCGGATGGCTCCTGTATAAAACAATATACGAAAATAATTGATGAAGTTTCGAGGGGGATATATATTAGTTGGTAAGGGTGACCCACGAAATCCACGAACATTGATACCCCACAAACAAAGATGATTCCACCGTATCTTTTGGGGAATTTTTTTTCGCCCACTTTGAGTTTTCACTTGAAATATTTAGTCTACAGTGTAGTTTCATGTGTTAATGACTTTCTTATAGGGTTTTTAACTTATTACTTTTTATATTGTTAGTTTTATTGGAACTGGGTGCTTAGGACATAGCGTACCCAGAGAAAAAAAATTATAGTTAAAATATTTTAAATATTTCAATTTTACAGTGGCACGTATTTTTTTTTAATTCGTGGCCACGAAATAAATTATTTTGCTCTGACATTTTTACATTTATATACATTTTATAGGGATCATTTTTCAAACATTAAAGTTTGCAATTTATGAAATTCAAAACTATCTATCACAATTGTTTTTGATTCATTAAATTATATACTCGTTAGGTTATAAATTAATAAATAGTTTGAAATATTATTGATGTATAGTTTTTGCCGCGGTGATTCATATACATTTATTATGATAGATACATCTTGAAATACTGTAACTTTGATGCATATGATATATTGATATGATGTTAAATTCAACAATATGTTTTAGGTAGCAAAGTTCTAGTATTTGAAACGTGTATTGATGATTTATATTTGTTTACAAAACTGATTTGTTCACAGTGGTTATAAAGCTATTAATGATGTCTAATATGATTTTATTCACTAGATTTTTTTTATCAGATTAGTATATATTTATATCAACCAAAAACTTTTTTTTTGCTTGGGTAGAATACTAAGAGTTCTAAATGTTAATATGAAAAACGCATTGTGCGTATAATGCATCAAGGAAAACATTTTTATTGTTGCAATTTCTTTATGACTTTTTGACTGACGTAAATTAAAACGCACGAAGTTTGAAAGACAGTGCTGAACATTTCATAGCACACACAATGTCTACTAAGAAAAATTGATGGCCACAAATTAGTAAAAAAAAATCTCGTACCATATCCTATATACCAACCACCGTACAATTTATATATTTTTGATGCATTTTATTTCGTCTTATATCGGCTACAAAAATCCTTTTTTTCGGTTGTGCTACAAAAATTCTTTTTTTTTTTTAGGGTTGTATTTGCAGAAAAACACCCTAGCTAACTTTCATCTTACAGAAAGGAATCATTATTGTTGATAAAAATTTTAAAAACAATCATTGAATTGGTATCTTCGTGATATTTACCAATCAAGTTCTTGAAATAACAATGAGAATTTGAACTGTCAGATGATGACACAGTTACCCAAATGGAGAGTTTCTGTCTTATTTTGAAAGGTCACTAAAATCGTAATCCACGTATGTTCTCGTTGAATTCAAGGTAACGCATGTTAATAATATTTTCACTTAATTTATTTCATGTTTTACTGGAAGTAAGTAATGAGAATAGTGTAAATTTCAGTAGATTCTTGTGTTAATTACGTTATATTCGACATGGCTTGTCTGATGTCACTAAACATCTGTGTGAAATATACATTGTGTACAAGGAAGAGGTTGCCCTCACGATTTTAGCACATCAAGTCGTCATTTTTTTCACTTTGACCACTGAATCGTTAGTAAGATCGCCATGACCTGGTAAAAAGTGGAAGTCGTCTTGGCTATTTGTTCACTGGCCGTGACCCTTCAAAGTCAGTGGTAGAACATAAGACATTTTTCATTATTCAACAAGATGAAAACCCTTGGAACGTCGTGATAAATAATAATTAGGGGTTTAAACCGAGGGATATGGCTCACATTGGTAGTTTTTTTTAAGGGGGGGGGGGGGTGCTCTTCTATTGCAGTTTATATTATTTGCATTTAACTTGCAAGTAACTTATTAAAATCATATACCACGACACCCCCCCCCAAAAAAAAAAATAAGAATGACAATAATACCTCACTTTATCTTAATGTAAATGCTAATAATATAGCTACTAACTTTAGTTAGACTGAGTAACTAACCCACCCCACCCCCTGGAATTCTGGATATTTGTAAAGGTAAAAAGGACTTTCAAATTTTAACGATGTTACGTAGTTATTTTTACAGACTAACATGTTTTGTTATTCAGGGATCCTTTTACGTTTGAATGTGTGTGGTCATTTGACGATAAAATTCCGTTAAATATCTTAGAATGCGTAGTAAAGACCATGTTAAAACATTGTTAACAACAATGTACTACAGTAGCTACATATAACCTTTGGCAATAAAATACGCATCTGTTTTGACATCCCCGGAATTCATTCAAGTGGACTTGGTTATAAAAATATCAAATTGTAGTCGGGACCCTGGTTCATTAGGATAACTTATTAATTAATTGCAGTCAAATGACAGCACAGTATAGCTGTCTCCGGGTTAAGTAAGTAAGGAAATAAAAAGAACATTAGACTTCCAGGAGTCTACTTTTTTCCTCCTTACAGCGTTTTTCAATAAAAGAAAGTAGCAATACTAAAAGTATGCACAAAATATTCCACAGTTACACACTTAATTTAACAGAAAGATATTTTTCATGTACATGTGTATTTAGAAGTCGTGGAGTAATGATAGGGGTGGGTGGGGGTAAGTTGTCTATCGAATTTCTTGGAGTCTTTTTACAGAAGCTTGTGACCCCGTCAATTGAAAAAAGTAACTTTTTATCTAATTTATTTAGAAAGATTCAAATATAAGTATCTCAAATAATTCATTGGCTTCATGTTTTTAAAAGGAATCCTAAATTTACGATGTAAATCAACAGAGTCATTGGAAGACCTTCGATGCCAATAGTTAAATTAAGGCCCTACGACTTATTTATTTGAAAAAATCCCTTTTACACCTGAAAAAAAATCATTAAAGATTGGCATGCATAAATAATATATGCGTGTAAACTATCACTGATGTAATAAAATAGATAAATAATAGCTAATCAATTGGCACTTGTTTGTGACCACGTTCTGAACTTGCATATCAAGTACATGTACTTGTTATAATATCACTAAAGCATATTTATCGAATATATCATGTATTGAATGATTCAGGATAGTCTTTAAGTATACAGTCATATTGTAAACTTTAATTTTATCGATTGTTAGAAAATCAAAATCCACAATGCAACAACTTCCAACCTTTGTTGATACCTTCCAAAATAATTTTTAAAAATGACAAAAGGAAAAAAAAACTGTGTGCTTAGTTTTCCTTTCATAGATTTTTCACCTATTTACATTTTGAAACAGAATCTTTTTTATTCTGCAACTTACACATATATGTGAAATCACAAATAAAAGAAAAATCATATCTTCTATATAAATAAATAGTATTACTTATGCTAATTTACATCTTTATGTTTATACTAATTTCCAACTTATAAAAAAAGGTGTTTTTATTTAATTTGATAATGAATAACACTCTGGTTCTTTCCTGAACATTAAATAAATAAAACACTTTTTCAGTTGAAAATTAATATTATCTAGAGTGATCATAAGTAATCATGATTATACGATGGAAACGTAATCAGATGTAATCCATTACTTTAAAAAATGGCTGTAATCATTTTGTAATCGATAAATTTTAAGATCCAAAGTAATTGTAATTTAAACGATTACATTTGAAAGTAATTGACTCCATCCCTGCATTATATATACCCCTACAATATTTACTAATGTGCTTATCATGTAAAATCCAAAAAGGGGGGAATGAATGACTACAATGCACAATTCATTTTATGACTCACTAACACGTTGATTTGCTTTATTACAATAAACAAAAGAATTCATGAAAAATTCTTTCTTCTTTTTTTTTCTTCTCTAAGAATAAATGACCAAAAACATTTTTTATATAAGCCAATTGTGTATTCAGTAATAAACGGAAATCGTAGAGATCAGATGACAGTTATATTGGACGTTTATACATGGTTATTTTGATGGTGACATCTGACATGGTATCGTAGCACTGTCATTGCCACCGCGTGCGAAGGGACGTGTAGTCGTTCCCAACGAAAAAGTAAGTCCAGCAGCGGTTGACAATCCGGAAATTTCAAAATTTCTGTTATAGGTTTTATTTTCGCCGTAAACGCACTGCATGCTGGAACATTAAATGAACATATTTCGACGAAAATGAGGAATATCACAAAAGGACTTTTATTATTATTTTTTGGTGAGTTTTTATTTTTCATTTTAAATAATTTTTTTTCATTTGCGTTACCTTTATTTGCTGAAATCATGATTTATTTTCAGATAGGTAAATCGAAAATCTTTGATTTCTTACATTAGATACAGCTTAGAAGGAAATCTTATTATTTTGTGTAAATTCAAAACATTTATTAATAATGTCATTTTGATTGTCAACACACATTTCTTTAAATAAGATATTCAATTTATCATTCTGTTTTAGCAAAAAAATTATTCGTTTTCATTGTTAACTGTCAGTGAAGTTACATAATTACAAATGAAACAAGTCTAAAAAAAAAAAATAATAATAGTAATAACGAAAACTAAAAAGCTTATTCTTAAATGAAAAAAAAATCACTATAGGATATTTATTTTATTCAGAAACATTATGTATACACCAAGAACATTTTCTACTTATAATTTTGAGAACTTTCATTGTAAGCAATATCAGATTAGTAGGTCTGACATGAAAGGAATCATTTCTAAGAAATATTCTAGAATTTGTTCATTTTATCTAAACTTAGAAATGACATAGATAATTCAAGGAAATTAAATTTCAAGAATACTAAAACTAAAGATATTGTTTTTCAAACATGTCGCTGTAAATGTGAAAGGAAAAATTTTCAAAAATGATTTTTAAATTTTTAAACTATATATGTATCTTGGATGAAAATCCATAACCTACATGTGTGGACTTCTGGAACTAGTTCATTAACTGAACAAGAGGATTTAATATTCGAGGTTTTAGGTAAAATAAGCTATAATTGCACTTATGATGTGAATATGTACATATATAATACATATTTGTAATTCTGTTTTCTAGTAAAAATAGCAAGTTCGTATGTCGATGTTTTTGTTTGTACCTTTTAATTGTATTTGTTTTTGCCGAAAGTTATGTAACCTCTTTTATCTTATGATACACATTAACACTAATTAATTATTCTTACATGGTATATTTTCTGCATTATCTATTAATGGTGTGCAGAGCGGGCGGACATCTAATTTATTGTCTCTCATTTATGGGGTTTTGACCATAAAAGTAAGGTGTTAATTGTCAGGAAATGGTAAATAGATAAGTCAACGTGTCATCAAATAATTTCCCGTAGAAGGGAATTCGTTTTCAAATCGTTTACATTTTTTAAACGTTGTTTATAAATCAAGTATGTGATATATCTTTCTTAATCGAATTTTTACGACTTTTGTCCAAATGTCAAGATAGGTTCTATTTTTAGACTCTGATTAATGGAAAACTTGTGCAGGTAAAACGTACGTGTGTCGTTTATTAATTTTTAATACGAGTTGAAAGGGATTACAGGTCAATAATAATGATCTACTTCCGTTTTAAAATATAATGGTACGGAATACTACGGACCTTTTCATTTCAAATGACGATTTACTTATATTAAAATAAGCTTTAAATTTTGTGATTCACTTCAGCATTTTCTTTAAATTAGACTCAAAGATAACAAACATTAATAGGTTTGGGTTTTTTTAGAGTAAAAATTTCATCATACCAATTTTGAGAAAAACAATCAAAATTTTAAAATATTTATAGATGATAAAAAGATAATACTCTTTATATTAAATCTAGGAATGTTGGGGTCAAAAAATACTCTCTATTGCCTCAATAACAAATACATGTGACTTATACAATTAATTCTTAATACTTAATTCTTAACCCACTGCATATACTTTACCACCCACCCCCCTCCCCCTTTATCACACCCACCCCAAATAGAGATTCTCGTCTGATGACAATTTTAAACTCTGATTTTCGGATGATTTTAAAGTGTGTATCCTGAAAGGCTGTTTTAACTTAGTATTTGTTTCATGATTATCCGTTTCCTTGCGGAACTTGAGAAAATTGCTCATTGTTGAGTTTCATTGAATACTCTGCTTTGTCATTTTCACGTCTGCTCCCTTACAAGGTGTGACGGTACATGTATGTTTCGTACATATCGCCAGCTACAATACTGGCGACAATATGCTCCTACCCTCACTGAACATATATTGTCGTCCATGGACGCATATTGTCGCCGGATGAAAAAAAACATACATGTAAATATTGTCGCTGGCGACATTATGTGCCTACCCTCACTGCACATATTGTTGCCGCACAGTTGGGTTTCTTAGGATTTTTGTTGTAGTTTTGGGTATGTTATTGGTGTGTAAATCATGCCCGCAGATATGACTTTTAGAATATTTCATGAAGCGCAGTTGTGACGTTTTATATTTTCGTCCTGTACATTATGTCGCCGGCGACAACGTACATACCCTCACTGCACATATTTTCATCCGTCGGTACATATTGTCGCAGGCTGAACATTTAAACATGTACATATTGTCGCTGGCGTCAGTAAACTTTTCACATTTTCGACTTCTTCCCAAGAACTGCTCGGTCAATTTCAACCAAACTTGCCATAAAGTATCCTTCGAGAAAGGGAACTCAAATTTGTTCAAATGAAGGGCCATGCCCTCTCTCATTCTCAAGGGGAGATAATTAAGAAAATTTACTGACATCTTTTATAAGTCTTTTTCTCAAGAATCACTTTGCCGGAAAAGTTGAAACTTAAGTAAAAGCTTCATTATAAAGTGTAGATTCAATTTTGTTCAAATCATGACCCCCGGGGTAGGTTAGGACTACAATAGTTGAAGTTTTACATAAGAATATTTAGGAAAAAATCTTTCAAAATCTTCTTCTCAAGAACCATTGGGCCAGAAGAGTTGATACTTAAGTGAAACCTTCATTACATAGTGTACATTTAAATTTGTTCAAATCATGACCCCTATCGGTAGGGTGGGGCCACAATGGACGATCAAAGTTTTACATTGGAATACATGTACATACGAGAAATCTTTTAAAAAAAATTTCTCGAGAACAGCAAGCCCATGATTAGTCATATTTATATGGAAGTATCCTCAGGTAGTGTAGATTCAAGTTAGTTCAAACCATTACCTCCTGGGCTAGGTTGGGGCTACAATGGGAGATCAAAGTTTTACATAAAAAAATATAGGAAATTCTTTAAAAATCTCAAGAACATTAAAGCAATGATTAGTCATATTTATATGGAAACATTGTCCGGTATTGTCACGCGACATGTACTGATGGACGACAATATGAGTATTTAGGGTAGGTACAGTACGTATTGTCGCCGGCGACAATATGAACAGGACAACAATATGTCATAATCGTCATAATCGTGCTGCATGAAATAGCCTACGAGACACATCAGTGTGATTTACACACCAATTACATTCACAAAACTACAAAAATATCTTTAAGCAACAATATCTGTGGGGCGACAATACTGTATAGTGAGGATAGGCACATAATGTTGCCAGCAACAATATGTGTAACTTTTCAGCCGGCGACAATATGACGATATGTGCAGTGACGGTAGGTACATATTGTCGACAATTTTACGACAATCAAACGACAATAATTATGTAAACCGTCACAAGACCCCAGTAAGTATTCCTCACAACAATGTATTGGCGACAAAATTTGCAAATGTTCATAGTATATATTGTTGCCGACGACAATATATGCCGATGTGTGACTGTACATTTGTCGTCCATTCTGCAGGAGGAAAAAAGGCTCGTCTCGGTACATATTGTCGTCGGTGACAATATGTACCGATGGACGGAAGTATGTGCAGTGAGAGTAGGTACATATCGTCGCTGACGACAATATGTACCGTCACACACCTGCTCTTATGACGTCGTCACCAAACAACTATTGTGATTAGCAGGTACCATGATAAGTAATTTAAAGGGAAAATGGTTTGAACTATGATGATAGAAGCTGTTGTAAAGATACTTTATCTGTCGTTATTGAAAATTTCTAGTATGAAGCCAAACTTAGCAAAGGTAAAATATTAAGGAAGAAAAAAACATATGGATAACATGAGGTAATAAATCTTGTGATTTTCGACCCGTTTTCATCTTAAAATAAATCAAAAACTTTTTGTGACAAGGTCTAGACGTTGAAATAGAGAATTCCATTAAAAACAAAGCTGGTAAAACGTTAATTCTATTATTTCATTATCCCTTGACATAAATTGCTGAATGAACAAGATACAAACACACGATTAGCAATTAAGAAGGAGGACAAAACATGTCGAACATAGCATCCCTGAGTTATAAGATAGCTGTCTGACCCCATTCCATATGAACACTACATTCACGAGACAAAAAAAAACAAGTGGCTTTTCTTTTACCTCTGCCCAGGTTTGGCTAATATGTAACAAAAGGCAATACTCAGTAAGCTGAATTATTACACTTTGCGTTGAGATCAACGCAAATTTAATAAGATTATCCATATTGATTTTTGGTCGTCTGTTCAACAATCCAATCTGTCTGTCGGCAAAATGAATTTTGATAAACCTCTTTGTACATTGAGGAAATCAAAACGGAACTTGGTAAAAAAAAATTGAATGTTAGAACCAGGGAATGGAAATAAGAATAAGTGAAAACTATTATTCTGGCATATTTGCCTTTATTTGCAATTCAGTATCAGTAAGGGGATTAGTATATCATTTAATAATTGTGTCAATTTAAATCAAATAAACAAAACAAAAAAAAAACCCCAAATTTTACTTTTTTAATGATAGGATACGTAAGTGCAAATGGGTGATAAAAAGGCAATATTCAACATCAAAAGTGGCATGGTTACGACAGTTTCATATTGTTTTCCTTATGAACGTCAAAAGTGACATGGTACCCCCCGTTTTATTGTTTTCCTTATGAACATCAAAAGTGACATGGTACCCAAACTTTCTTATTGTTTCCCTAATGAACAACTAAAGTGACATGGTACCCACATTTTCTTATTGTTTTCCTAATGAACAACTAAAGTGACATGGTACCCAAACTTTCTTATTGTTTCCCTAATGAACAACTAAAGTGACATGGTACCCACATTTTCTTATTGTTTTCCTAATGAACAACTAAAGTGACATGGTACCCACAGTTTCTTATTGTTTTCCTAATGAACAACTAAAGTGACATGGTACCCACACTTTCTTATTGTTTCCCTAATGAACAACTAAAGTGACATGGTACCCACACTTTCTTATTGTTTCCCTAATGAACAACCAAAGTGACATGGTACCCACACTTTCTTATTGTTTTCCTAATGAACAAATAAAGTGACATGGTACCCACACTTTCTTATTGTTTCCCTAATGAACAACTAAAGTGACATGGTACCCACACTTTCTTATTGTTTCCCTAATGAACAACTAAAGTGACATGGTACCCACACTTTCTTATTGTTTCCCTTATGAACATCTAAAGTGACATGGTACCCACATTTTCTTATTGTTTCCCTAATGAACAACTAAAGTGACATGGTACCCACAGTTTCTTATTGTTTCCCTTATGAACATCTAAAGTGACATGGTACCCACATTTTCTTATTGTTTCCCTAATGAACAACTAAAGTGACATGGTACCCACAGTTTCTTATTGTTTTCCTTATGAACATCTAAAGTGACATGGTACCCACAGTTTCTTATTGTTTCCCTAATGAACAACTAAAGTGGCATGGTACCCACAGTTTCTTATTGCTTTTCCTCTGATTTTTTGTAGATGTCCTGTTTGTTGTCCTTGAGGCACAGACGGCTCATGGTAAGTCAGACATATCTTGGGAATCGGTAACAATTTATTTTTGTGTTTTGTGTAGACAGCTTTTAATACGTTCTCACCCGAGTCTTATGTAGCTTATGTATATAGCAATATACTTGGATCCGATCCCATTGTACCTCAACACTCAGCAACATATGACGTCATTTTAAAATTCTTTTATAAACTATAAATTATTATTTTTAATGGAAGTTTTTTAGTGGCCAAATCGTTTTAGTGGACAAATTAGTTAAATATTTTTTTTAAAAAGAAGTAATTAGAGGTATAAAATCACCGTGGTGATCCTTGACGTCAGAGAACGCTGAGATTTGAGCTATCATGATTTTTAAATTCCATATCTGCATTTCGGTGGAGGATAAATATTCAGTTATTCCAAAGTATTAAATTACGTATTTTGATCCTATTATTTTTATTTACTGAGTGTAAATAATGCTCTTGTGCTTACTTTGCGGAATACGATTGCAGTTTGGCAGAACAATCTGACGTCACGTGATTTCTGGCATGCACTAACAATATTCCCTAATATGTAATGTAGAACGTAAAATAACTGCATGTATTAGTAGTGTTACCCCAACCCCTCGAAATTTATACAGAAATGCAGGTAATTAGGTGACTCTGTGATTCAGTTGACAATTGAATGACAGAGTTATCTAAAAATTTTAGATTCAACATCTGTGAAATAATTTCAATTTTTAGTCGAATCTGGCATGTTTTGAACCAGTATTAAGTAAGGAATACTAAAACTAATTGCGATGCCTAACTGAGTTGTAAGACTATGCTAAAGGGTTTGATTCGATATTTATCTCTTGAGATCGGACCAAGTGTTTCTAATCAAAAATGGATAAAGAAAATCTAACAAAATAACCTACTAAAACAAAATGCTGACCTTAAAAACAAGTAGAATACTCAAGGTTACAATTAATGTAGCACGAGGTATATCAACACTTTCTGCATTCAAAATCACGTGACGTGTATCAGAACTCAACAGCCAATCAGTGTCTGCCTTTCTGCAAACGTACTCGGCAGGAATTAAACTTTTACCTTTGCGGTTCAAAGGTCCCTATATGGCAGCACAATTTGGCGGAGGGTTCAACCAGCCTGTATACAACCAACCATACAATCAACAAGGTTACAACCAGCCATATAATCAACCATATAATCAACAATATAATCAACCATATAACCAACCATATAACCAACAGTACAACAACCCAGGGGGATACACTGCACCACCAGTACCTACAACTGTTGCTACCACTAGTACTACACCAGGTACAACGGTAGAGACGGAATTCGAACCCGAGGAAACCACTATTCCGGCAATCACGACCACCACAACGACGACGACAGCCAAACCAACACCAGCACCACCAAAACCGCGAAACAAAAGACCGCCACAGAATCGAGGTCGATTTTCGCAGAGACAAGAGCACCAACCAGAGCCAAGGCGGAACAACTGGATGGGGCCGTCAAGGAGATATCCGAATATGGGGCCACCACCAAGGCGACCTAATCAGAATTTTCGAAATCAGAAGCAACCACCTCGAAATTACATTCCCCCAAGTTTTCAGAGACCGCTTAAAGGGCAACAGAATTTCAATAAACCCCCTTCAAAACAACCTATTAGAGGTCAGCTTAAACTTATAATAAGGGATTGATAATAAATAACCATAACAAATAAAACGAATACACAGTACAATGCTTTTAAATTTTTAGACGATGTACAGACAGGGTATTATACACAGTCACATTTTTAAAAAGTTTTTCAGTGGAAAAGCAGGATTTAGCATGTTGAAAACAAAAGTTTATAAGCTTAGCTCACATAAAAATGTGTTAATCCCGTCTTCTGCATCCCATAGGTCAACAGTTCAGGAATAACGCTCCGCCAATGAAAAACCAGCCTGTGACATTTAACCAGCCTCCATATGGTGGTCCAGCATACAACTTCCAACAACAGACAAGAGTAAATACAAACCAGTATCCACCACCACAAGCCAGACCGCCGATGCAGGCTCCCATGCAACAGCAACCGAACAGACAGCCACTACCACCACAACAGGCAATGCAACAAAGGCAACCGTTCCAACAGCAACCGAGAATCACAAAAACTGCTAGCATTAACCAGAAACCCCCTGTATCACTTAACATACCACCCATAGGAACACCTGCACCCAAGACAGTGGGAGAATCATGTCCTACATATCGCTACACTGTAGATAATAACTTTGTCGAGTTCCACACAATACCCGGAAGCTGTAAAATGTGAGTAAAAACACATGTCGAGTGAAAGGAAATTGACACTGTTTTGAATTCATCCTTGTATATACCATAGCTGGGTTTCTTCATATTGAATTTTGATTTTGGGGTACTTTTGAGATGCAATATTGTAGTTTTACTGGTCTCTATTGATAAAATTGATAAAATTGGTTGTAAAAAGGTGTGGGGGCAGCATATTTTGTTTACAATGCCGAATACAATAAATCTGTCCTTAGTGCTAACTTGTTTCTTCTTTTTCAGACAAGTGATGTATCCACCAGGCGGTAATGGGTTCGTATTAAGATTTCTTCTTCTTAAATGCCTTTCATATTATAAACACAACTCAGAGGGGAGGTTATAAGTTCATGTTGTTTATAAACTAAGTATGTAGACCCATAGTTATTCATGATGTGTCGATTTCTCTGTGTTCGTTAAAACGAGGGGAAACTGTACTGCATATATACTAATTGCTAATTTTTATCCTTTATTATTTTAAACTTTTTAAAAAGATAAAAAGTAAAAATAACATTGTAAAATTGAATTCTGGGAGAAAATTGATTGTTCGGGACTAATTTAAAATCGACTGAATGTCACATTCTATATACGACTTCGGCTTCGATTACAGCTTCCTTTTTTTTTCGGAGAGTTCATTTTCGTTTTGCTTTAAAATCAAATATATATTTTTTCACTATAACCTTCTACAAATATTCAAAAAATTTCCCCTCCTCTTTAATATGAATGTTCCATTGAAGAATTTCAAAGCATGTATCAGATCATGACCTAAAAAAATCAAAGTACTAGAAATACTTGAAACATGCTTGAATTTAAGATTTGTATACAGACACCGAAGGTATGGATATGCACTAGTTAACAAAAATGTAAAAATAAAAAAAAATTCCAATAATAAGATGACTAGAGCTCACGATCCGTGTCCACGATTTGTCCAAAATAACCGTAGTAACATGATGAATAGCCGACATTTTTATGGCGTTGGTTACTTTCTCGCAGTAAATGAAACATATGCCGTCTCCATAAACGACGTTTGAACTGTTGTGCAAAGAGTACATTTTCGGAGATAAAAAACACATATAAGATGGCACGACAGTAGAGACGAAAATGTGAAGTGTTATGGTGGAATATTCTTCATTCCACAATAAGTATGAATAAATTAGCTACACATCTAAAGAATTGCCTGTTTTGCTTCTCTTGGTAGATCATGTAACAGACGAAAACAATAATTTAAAAGAGATTTCAAGCATTTAATGAGCTTATTTAGCTTGAAAAAAAATAACTTAAAGAACATGAAATAATCGATTTTAAAAGAGAAAAGTTCGTTTTTTTCTAGTGTTTATTTATTTATTGTTTTCTTTAAAAAGAATTTTTGAGTGTTTGAATTATGAAACTATAATGAGAACGGGGCTGAGACTAATGGGGGGAGGGGGGGTTAATGTTAATTATCTTTTCTTTCTGTATCGTTCTCTTATTTTAAAAAAATCAATATGAATATTCTATTTGTAATCTGGAAGGTAATAGATATCTCAAAACCTATTATCTTTGCTTTTTTCTTTCTGATTATATATTTCTCTCCTTAAAAATTCTTAAACAGCAAATTTTCATATACGAATCTTTATCAAAAATGAAGAGTTCGCTTATACTCGAATTACAGTCTGCCAAATCTGAAAACTCTTTTCTCCGAAAACGGGGAAGAAAGAAGCAAACGAACAAAGTACAATTTGATTACCTTATCTTTTTTCAGACCCCCAAAGGTACAGTTTCTTGCAAAAGTTCCACTGAAGTAAAATCAGAAGGATATGAAAAATCAAATCATGGAGGCAACTTGTTGAATGGTCATAGGATTTCATTATCTATATATACAGGATTATATATACATTTTCAAGGAAACCTATTTCCGCTGCATGATGGTGGTAACATTTCAAAGAATATTGAGTAACATACACCACGGTAAAGTCGGCATCCGAAAGAGACTTTTCATTCTGTATGTGCAAATGACGTGAATGACAGTGTGTGTCGTGAGTGTAGGTCCAATCATTTTCATCTTCACCCAGTTCCTGTTTATTCGTATTATTTCCCCTTCCGGGAAGAATCTATTATTGAATGCGTTTTCTGAGAGTATGGATATTCTTAATAACTCAACTAATACAAGTTGAAGTAATTTTTACGTTACAAATTAAAAAAAAAAGTCTTGACTTCATCATGCTTTTTTATTGCCATAAATGATATAAAACATTTATCAAATATTCGTACTCTATGCCAAATAAATTATGTATGTTTTTGTTATATATTGTGTCATTCTTTTTTCCCGCGATCATCACATTTTATCGTCGCAAGCCACGGGTGTTGTGTCCATTCAATTTCCGCAAACAGATTGGACACAAAACCCGTGGCTTGCGACAATGACTAGTAATTGAAAATTAATTGTCATTTAATTAGTTTTTGAAAATCGTTTTGTTTTATTAGTCAGTATGTTTTACTAATGATACAAATTATGCCATGTGATGTATACACGTATTATAAAGTCTTCTTACGCGATATATAGGCCCAAGTGGGGTGTTTGTCTTTAATAATTATAAACACGTCACTCATGGTAAATAAACACTACATCCTTTATGGATAGTAGCGTCATCTACTGATTTTAGAAAAAAAAAATTCTTATAGAAAAATAAAGTTGAATTCAGATATATCATGACAATATTATATCATTTGTTGATTTTGTACCATTAGTGGTACATGACCCTAACCCCCCCCCCCTCTTCCCCTTCATAAATTATACACGTGAATTGACGTAAAGAACAACATATGCTAATTCTCAATTCCCGCCTACATTTTACACCCAAATAGCAATTTGGCCAATAAATCTTGTTTGAATGCAAAGAAGAGTTTATATAAGTAATTGATTAATAATTTTAAAACCAGTGCCAAAACGTTAATTGCTCCTACTTACAACTCTTTTCAAAAAGGGGTTGAATATTTTATTAATTGATATCGGGCTTTAAAACATCGCCAGATTTTCAAATACTCGTGGAAATGGATAAATGACACTAAACTCTTTCTGTATGTTTAATTTATGTAAAATTCAACATACATGTATAAGATTGAAAAAGGTTCATTTTTTAATTTTTTAATTCATATGAAATTAATAATAAAATAACCAGTTTTGCAGTTGTCTGTCTGAATACATTCCCCCCTCCCCCCTGAAACAAAAAAAGCTTTGGTATGAATTTGCGAAATAACAATACATAATACCTGTGAAAAGGAATTGGGGGGGGGGGGTAAAAATATTTCCCGTTTTCCGTTCATTTCTATAGCGTTTTACCAAAATTATGGAGTTATCTCTCTTTGTTTTCCCAAATAAGTTATGTTTATTTATAAATATGAAAAATCATTCAAATATGTTAAAGTTTGAAAATTGACTTGGAGGTAGGCGACAGAACAATACTATCGTTCGCAGTTCTTCCATGAACTTGAGTACAGGGCTTTTGATAAATAGATCTAGGGTATAGGTTCGTGCATGTCTTGTATATGTCAGTTATGATACACCCAAGGCCCAGTAATGTAGTCTGCATTGTCCCGTTGGTGTCTGAAGTCTCTGACGTCCAAAGGTAAGATCCTCGTATCTTAGCTTTCAAACCTCTTTCCACTTTCCGCACAAATTATATATATGAAGTATGTAAGAAGGTAAGAAGACCAGTGCCTCAAATAAAAAATATCAAAATCCAAGGTAAAAATCTGTTACATGTACACGTAGTTGTTTCATTTTGTTTTAATATGGAACATAAATTTCGGTGTATTATCAATATACATGTATTTGAAAAAAAAGGTGCACAAATGTATTTCATCTTCTTAGTTCAAGATATGCCTAATCTGATAATTCCAAACAGAGGATAGACTTATGTCAAATTAGTATAACTTTTGAAATACTTCTGAAAATAAAGGAAAATTTCCATTATGTTTTTTCATTTGAATAATATACAAACTTGAAGTTTTTAAACATGTTTGTCAAGGTACTAGTATTGAAAATCTAAATGTTGACTTCAGTCTGTTCCCAGTTTATGTTCTTGGGGCCTGTATTTTGGCAGGTTGGCAGGCGAGAAATAAATTAATAGAAATTTTCGTTTAAAGAAAATGATCAGGAGCCGTAACGATTTTCATGTATATTGCAATTCCTCGACTTTTCTCATGTAAGATGCATTTAACCATTTTTTTTTTACTCTTTCAATCATTTAGATTACTTAATATTACTTTCCCAATCATTTAAATTACTTAGTATTTTAGAAATATATTTCTTATTGTAAACGTCGTAGGGTTATTTTCTATCGGCAAATTTCACCTCGGACGATGTTTGTCGAAGTTCAAAAATAAATAAATCTTGCGCAAAAAGGGATCAATATGTAATGTGTATGTATTGAACATTTTTCTTAAATACATGCATACAATGTATATGAATGTTAATTAATGTGGAAAAATTACGGGTGCTGTACCTGCATAGCGAAATAAGTAGATGTAGTTCGTCGGAAACACGAATACAAAAACAAATTTAATGTTTTTAGAGATGAACAAATATAATGTTTTTAGAGATAAATTTAACAAGACACAGTATATATCTTAATCTTGAAACCAGAATGAAGATTCAAGCCTGCTGAGCCGTTAGTCATGATTATTCTTTCTATAAAAGAATATGATAACAAAACCAGGCACGTAGTATCGGGGGGGGGGGGGGGGGCTTTTTTCCAAACGTAACCTTTTACCGTTGAAAATGTTCATTGAGAGGGCGGTCCGCCCCCCCCCCCCCTTTGTTGCAGCATACAGTCAAAGCGTTCCACGGTAATGTATTAAAAATAATTTATAAGGGAAAGGTTAGAATGATCTAACCCACCCCCTCCCACACACACATTCAAGTTCTGGACAATTTAATTACCGCTCCCCCTTTTTTCTTGTTTGTCAAAGATTTCTCAGGGAAGTTGTCAAATACTTTTTTCTGGCTGCCCCCCTCCCCACTTTCCAAAACGATACTTCGTGCCTGGATACAAAAAAGTTATCATCGGTAGATATAATCCAGAAAACGCCTCATCTTAATAATTTTCATAGCATGCTGTATCATGGAATCAATGAGGGATAAAAAAAAATAATGTAATGGGATGCGAAGGGTAGCGTTATGGCTCTATCTGTTATTTGGGGAAACATTTTCGTCGTCCCTGACGTCGACAAGTCACAGCCATTGTCATGTTTCTGGAAAGGGGTGCAGGGGAGGGTCTGGGAGGGGTACCCCTTATTTGAGCTAGATTTTTTTTTATATAAATGAAAACCACTTTGGTTGGTTCTGGTGACTTCTTTTGTTTTAAATGTTCTCACATAGTCCATGAATAAAGTTTAGCAACGTTAAATAGATGAATATTAAATGATTTTATTTTGTTTCAAAATTAATATTCTTGGGTTGTTATTTTTTTTTTTTCTAGAGGACGTTCGATCCTAGTCATTGCACCCTCGTCCTGAAGGTTTTTGAATTCATATGATGTATCAAAAGAATCGGAAACAATCAAGTAGTGTACCATGTTACAGCCAAAGCAATGTACTCTGAGAATGTTCAACTTCTGGTGTATCCAACAAAAGCTGCATTTTTGGGAGGGAAAGAGTGCACATCTCATTGAAACGGGTATAAAAGAAATAGGTTCAATCATAAAATTATCAGTTTTGTGGCCTTAGGTTAAAATTGAACTGGTATGCTTTAAACGTCAGGTAAACTGGTGAAGCCCCCACCCCACACATTTAACTAAATTATTGAACTTAATTTTGGCCTGTAGCAATGCAGTGATTAGTGTAACGCCCATCCTAAAACAAAAAAAATGAGTGATTAATGTCAATCCATAGACCAGATTATGTTGTGAATCTGGACAAACCCGCATACATTGTTAACGTAATTCAATGCAAATTCAATTGATAACAAACAAAAAGAGTTTTGCTATTTTAATACAATTACAATACAATATACTGGACTGTAACATAATCAGCACATACAATATTAATGCATGACAACAGATGTACTTTTCACAATGGAAAAAAATATTTTGACGTGACCTTGAAATCATTATCTATCAACAATGCAAGAGAGTAATATTTAATATAAATATTTTTAGGGATAGCACAGGATAAAGTTACATCTTTCCACCAACTTTTGAACAACTCATAATTGAAAGAAATATGTAATTATTAAAATAAGTAAATTAAAAAAAAGAACATTAAATATCAACCTATCATATTATTTGCTTGACCTGTATTACCGGTACATTATTTTGTATTTTAAACAGTATCGGCCCTATTCTTTAGGTTTGACTTGTCATCTCAATAGGTAAGTTAGAGGAAGGGGATTTCTTATTGGTATTAGCAAATGCTAAAGATTAATTATTCATTTGTTAGTTTTTGTAGCACGATTGTCTGTGCTGTTAAAGGACTAATACATCCTAGGCAAATCTGTACATTTTAGGGAGTATCACGTTTCTTCTGATAAAACAAAGCCTTTAATGAAATAATGCATAGACTTAACTTATATTTCAGTGAGCATTTTGCAAACAAACTACCTTTTCTTAATCTTTAAATTTAAACCATCTTTCTCAAACTTTAAAATTTTCAGCAAAAAAAATCCATTTCCTAAATTTCTGGTATTAAAGTCATTTTATGTAGAAAGTAATGTGAGCAAAAGCAAGTGAGACAATTGTTGCCAAACAGTCCAAATTTTGAATGAGCTTGACTAACCTCCAATTATATCATTAGGAAAATGATCAGCCATGAAAACAATCAAAATGTCTCCCTTCAAAATATAACAAAAGCCTCACTATAACTGAGGCACTCTTAACTGATAAAAAAAGGACTATCATACAATAGCAAAAAAAAAAAAAATTGCCATGTGTTTATATCCAAGCAATAGCTTAACTGTCATCAATATACAACAAGTCTCCAAGAACCTGCAATGAAGCTGACCATGCTGTGAAAGTGTTTTCCTCAGAAATATCTTCCTGGATGTTGACCACTCATGTGATGCTGGGGTCTGGACTGGTTGGTGTAATTTGGCTAGGACAGATAAATTAAACAATTAAAAATTACTTGGTCAGTTATCATCAAATTTGATATAAAATGCAGTAAATATAAAATACGAACACAACTTTGCATTGCTCTTCATTTCAAGTCTTCTATATGACTCAAGATATACTTTGACAGTATGATGGTCTATGTGGACAATGTATATGTACATCTCAAGTAAAAATTTACATGATTTTCAAATTTTTGCAAATTATGTTACTAATAACTCAGGAACCTTGAGAATCTGTAACTGTCAAGAATATCATGAAAAGACAATATATGCTGCTTATATAGGAGTGCTCTATGACTGATAGACAGATTTTATCTTTCAAGGGTTATAGTAAACTTTCCAGGCACCAAGTTCACGTGACTGTGGTTACATGTACCCACTGTGTTTCTTCAATCTTCATACAAAATATGATTCAATATATACTATGAGTCACCACAATTCAGCAATATAGCAAAGATGAACACACAAATTACACAACGGTGTACATGTACATGTACCAGATACTGACTCCAGAGAATCTTCACCACATCAGTGTAAAATTCAAAGTCATTAAAGTCAACAGCTGCTGATACTAACCTGATTTATATTAGGGGGCTGGTACTGGGTGGTGGAGTTAGGGGTCTGGCCCCTGGCAGCATAGCCTGTCACAATACTGCCCTGAAAAGCAAATTACATGTATATCAATTTTATTTGGGTAATCTTAAGCTAATGCCATGATATGTACTGGTATACATAGCTTTATTTATAGGAGTTTTATTGTTGCCAGCAAGATTTTCTAGGGATAAAAAATCCTAGAAAAATAACCCCTTATATATTATGCAAATAAATGGGAGCCTTTACATAAAATCTTACCTTGGACTGCTGTTGCTGTTGTTGCATTTGCAGGGACTGGTGCATAATAGGTTGCTGTCCTGGCATTGGAGCAACACCTCTGATGGCTGATCCCTGCTAAAAATATTAAAAGATAATTCACTCACTTTATCTAAGAAAGAGAGACTGAACTGAATAATCATATCTTTATAAACAATAATTATGGGGGGGGGGGGGGGGAATGCATTACACAACATATACAATCAACATAAATATGAAAAACTTTTTTTCCAGTTGTGAGAACCATCCATGTAGAACACATACTTGTTGTAATTTATATTTTTCTTCATTAAAACCTGACTGCTGATTGGCATGTTCAAGTTGTTTCTGCAGGGGGATATTTGAGCCATGTTGAGTAGCTATATAACCTGAAATGGAGAAAAAAAAATGCTAAGAATGATTCATTGATACAAATTCATTTTCCTTCATACCTATTTCAAATACTTGTAATGCTACTGACAGGATATTAAATGGAATTTTTGTCTGGTCACAAATGTTCTACAAAAATACACAATTAATTGGAAGTTCATGGTCAGAAATATACGTGAGAATCAAAAGGTTGAGGAAGTAGCAGATATCACTCATGCATGAATAAAAATTGGTTTACAGTAATCAACTCCAGATCTGTTAGAGTGTTCGCACCTGGTTGCTGCATCCGGTAACCTGGGTAACCAGATTCTTGAAGCTGCTTGGATTGCTGATGTGCGTATGGATTTGAGTATGATGAGAATGCAGACTGTCCCCCAGGATTGTACTTGACCGGAGACTTACTAGGGACGTACCCTGCCTGCTGATAGGCATGACTAGAGGCTGACTGATTGGGGTAGACAGGTCCGGCCTGGGTCTGAGGGAAGTTAGATTGCTGTTCTGTAAAAAAGCAAACAAAAACCTTGCTGGAATAGCATGGTGGAGCCAATAAAGCCATACAGAGCAGGGATTTTAATTGTGTTGAAATTCTATAGAAAGAACAAAATCTTATAATGCTTTGGTTCCATTTTCGATTTTGTTCAAAGTATAAAATCAAACAAGTACTTGAACGTGCAGAAAAAAATCCTTTGATTTGCTCCCAAGGTTGTTTAATACATATCTTTTTCTTGATTTAATTCTTGTGTTTTGGAGTGTTTTATTTCTTCCTTTTTTTGGGGGGTGGGGGGTGGGGGGGGGGGGAGAGAAATCAACGTACTGTAATCCGGTTGTGTGGAGTGGGGATAAGGGTGTGTTTTCTCTACAGCCATCATTTTATTGCTGTACTGGTACGACTGAGAGGGAGGAGGAGAGGGGCTCCGTCCTCTTTTCATGCTCACTTGCTGTAAAAGGTAAAAAAATATTTTGATCATTTGATTGAATGGTGTTTAAATTCAAACCTGAAACAAATGCCAGATCCTGGTAAATTCTACTTTCAATTTTTTAAAATATTTTATTGAAAATTAGACCTCATTGTCTGCTATATTCAATCTTAAAAATAGAGATATTAAATTGCACTATTATTTACAACCCAAAGAAAATGGTGTTATGAGAACAATTTGCTAAAACTGCTTTTCTTTGTATGCAAAACTTCATCCTCTGAAGCAATTTGTTATTCTGTACAAGTGTACCTGAACCATGGTTGGCTGGGGTGGTCTATATAACATAGGACGGCCAGACATGGCATGAGGCAGCCCCAGTACTGTACTGTGCTGCATAATCTGCAACTCACTGCAAAAAACAAATTAAGTATACTGTATCTAATCAATTTGTTTATCAAAAGAATTGAAAAGGATTTTTTTATCGTATACAAAAAACTGGCAAGAGTGTCCTTAGGCATTTACTCTCCCTATCCCCAGGCCCTTATAATATTTGAGTATCTATTCTTAAATGAAAATGTTGGCAGTAACCCCATACATTCATTACCTTTGTTCTTTCAGTTGAGCTTTTTTACGACTCTCATCTTCTTGATGCAGAACTTTCTTCAGCTGTGAGAATAATTCATGCTTCTCTGTTTTGAGTTCTTCCATCTTCTTGTCAAGTTGGGCAATCTTAAGTTAAAAAAAAAATACATACTTTCTTACTAATGATCGTTTGATGAAAAATTTCTTTCAATATATAGTCTAGATGAACTTCAATTGCAGTTGCCTTTAATAAACATCATCATTTCATTTAAATATGCAAATGGATCAAAAAACATGCAAATTAGCTACTTATAATACCTGTTCTTTTGTTTGTTCCAGAGTTAAACTGTCCTCTTGTTCTTTCTTCTTCCTAATCTCTTCTTCTTTCTTCAATCTTTCCATCATTATTGCATCTTGTTCTTGTGCTGCATGTCAAACCAATTATTGAAAGATTTTTGAAATGATACTTATAGATAAAAAAAACTTAAATTGGAATCATTCTTGTTCTTCTGTTACAGAATATAGAATATATACTTGATGTAATGTTTATGTTTTTCATTATAAACATCTGTTTCACTTTTAATACATTACCTTGTTTTTTCCTTTCTCTTTCCTTCATTATATGTCTTTTCAAGGCCTGGTACATTGTCTTTGTCATTTTTGGTCGGTCAATGAGTGCCCCAGGCATGATTAAACGTTTAGTTTATAAGTTCTAAAAAAGAAAACAGAATCTTGGTTTCAGCAAGACTGATGTGTAAATTTATGAAATTCCTACTTTCAACATTTGAGTAAGAAGAACCAGGGGTTGAAATATATGGTAGCCCGACATCCAGGGCTAGTGTTTTAAGACTCGGGCTAGCTAACTCAAATGTAATGATAGTCTGTTGGACTAGCAGTCCGGAAAAAAATTGTCACTTTACTTTCGTTTTCTATGTAGACTGGTTTCTAGTTTGTTTCTATCACAAAGCATTTTGAAAGCATGCCAAGCGAATATATATTTGCATGATAAAGCATTTTAATCACATTAGTCAATGTTGAGTAAACAAACAGTGTTGTTGGGCTAGTTAGTTTGAGGTTTGGGCTAGTAATTTTTTCTTGATGAGTAGCCCCTAAGCTAATGAGTTTTCCAGGAAAATTTTAACCCCTGAAGAACTCAATCATTCCTAATGCCTGAGTGTCAGATTTTTTTCTTTATTTCCTGTGCATGTCCTGAAAAAATGTGACTGACTATATTATTGAATTCACTTCAAAAATAACCCCAAAGAGATAAGTTACAATGTGGTGATTACTCAAACATCAATATTATAGAACTTAAAAATAAATCAAAATGACGAGGAAATTCGAACTTACACTTTCTTGATTTAATTTTGATCAAAATAGCGATTAAATATTTTCATTATCCAGTTCTTATAGATAAATTATTTAATTATTTAATAAAAGAATTTGTTATTAGTCATCAATGTTCAGTGTCAGTGCAAATTTCTATCAATATTTACCTTCCCGATCTAGAAAAATTACTTTGGAACTCTTCTGTAAAGGAAATTAAATTATTAATTCAACATGGCGGAAAAAAGAAAAGCATAATTACAATAGAAACGTTATCCCTTGTGTTTGTAATGTTTAAACAGTTCCAGTATTGTTCTCTGTGTCGTTTCAGCCATAAAAAGAAGAGGAAACATATTTATTCCATCAGGCATCAAAATGTAGTTAATAATATATTGGAAAAGTATTTGAAAAAGGTAAAAAATTTACTGCTTGTGTCATGGAGGACAGTTAATCTCTCTTTGATATCTTTTTTAGTTCACCTAAGTTTCTCTGGTTACGGTTTCTCCATCGTCTGCTTTGTGTTTATTGTTTTTTGTCATTACCTTTTTTGGTTTTCAACTTCTTGAGAAACTCTAAATCAATTTCACCATGTTGACCACAGACACTTGTTTCCTGTACAGGGCACCCCCTACTTATATTTCCCACAAGATACCTAACTCAATTTCAGGCAACTCACTTCAAGCCAGTATTCTTAGCAATTCATTAATCATTAACCAACTTCAATAAGACATAGTTCGCTTCTAGAGACTTTTTTTTTTCAAATATATCGTTCCAGACGTCCTTGGTCAAGCCTCTTTATTGTAAACCACTCGTTTACTCCTCGAAAATTACCTAACAACATTTTAAGACTTTTCGACAGGATACATCAACTTCCAGTTATGGTTATAGTGTAGGATAAAACCAGAGACTTCCAAACTTTTCATTCTGAAGTCTCTGGTTTTATAATCAAGAGCTTTGACCAAGGACATTTTGGAACGATATATTTGAAAAGGAAAAAGTCCCTAGAAGTGAACTATGTCTTATTGAAGTAGGTTAATGATTGATAAATTGATAAAATGCTGACTTGAAGTGGGGGTGCCTGAAATTGAGTTAAGTACCTAGTGGTAAAAATAAGTAAGGGGTGCCTTGTATACAAAACAAGTGCCTGTGATGTTGACCAATGGGGCGAGAGCAGTTGAGTATATAACTGGATACCTTTTCACCTGTAACTTAGATCCATCTCTCAATCGCACGAGGCAAATGATAGTTGCATTTCCATAACATAGTCTTATATCAAAGAGCGTCTTATCTACTGTCTACATTTCCATTAAAGCAAGAATGAAGATGAATTTATTTACTTTTTGGTGATCATTTCTTTGGTGAAGAACATGAGCCAAAGAGCAGTACCACAGTTGTGAAAAAAACAGTGTATTTTGGGTAAAATTGTGGGGACCTGAGGTTAGGTCATTCCAAGTTTTTTCTCTGTTTAGCGTTCACCCATCTTTCAAAAACCTAGCTAGTACCTACCTATTTGTAAAAAACACACAAACCAAAAAATAAAACAAAGAATTTATAATCATAAAAATGAGGTCAATCAAAGGATTTGATTTCATTAATCTGTTTTTCTCATAGAAAGATATATTCCATCTTTGCTAGCCAAGGGTTTCTGATACGCTACTCTCCTCATAAACCCTTGGCATACGGTGCTGACAAAAGATGGGATTGTTTTTGTCATGTGATCATGATTCTTACCAGGTACGAACAGATTGCGTCATCGACAGAAATAAAAAGCGTATTTAAAAAAATTTTGTTTTTAAAGAATAATTAACAAGAAGGTATCGAGTTATGTTAATTTGTTATTTAAACATGTAAAAATGCAAATCTACATCTTCAGTATAGATTCTTAATCACATATTTTGCACGTAGCTTTAGATATTGGATGACACCATATAGCTATTCATAGAATGGCATGTTATCTTACGGATCATTGTTTACTTGCATTTTACATTACCGATATTAAAGAGTCAAGATATATCCCGAACGCAAATATTGTCATTTACAAAAAACAATTGCTGATTGGTTGAATGATGTCGATCAACTCCAATCACAACTTGAGAAAAAAATCCCAACTTTTTTTAACACCGTATGCCAAGGGCTTATGAGGAGAGTAGCGTATCAGAAACCCTTGGCTAGCAAAGAATGATATATTCTGAAGCAAAATCAGGATATTAAATGCTTAAAGTGTACCTAACATGACATATTGTAGACAAATATTTAGAGAAATTGACAGAATTCAAAGATTTTGACCAGAATAATCAGTTTTGGGACAGCCCCTTATCCCGCAGTCACCACCGGGTAGTGGGTCTATAGGATAATATCATTTTTAACAATTAACAGAAGGTTCTTTTTACAATCTGAGCACTAATGAACAATGTATAATGTCCCAGTTTACATACAGATGTTTGTAGGGGTGTGTTATAATATTAAACTTTAAATTTCATTTTTCTTATTTTAGATGACTGAAGCCAGGTCCTCTTTAGAATCTCCACAAATTCAAAGTTCACATTTTGAAAGAGGAGCCAAATTTTGGTGTCATTTTTGTGCAGAGGAATATCTAAAACACATGGAGCTTGACACGTGTACTGTTAAATATGGTGGTCTCCTAGAGCACATTGCAAGGTGTTTACAAATTATACATAACAGAAAATATTTCTAAAATAGATGTAGATTTGACCAGATAAGCAGCTGGTTATACAGGGTACATATTTGGAATTCTGCAAGTATTAAAATATTTAGTTATTACTCAGCATGAGCAAAAGTGTGTTTTATCCAATACTGAGACACAGTGTAATGTCACTCTTGGACTAATACCTTGATTTTTGGCATTTTAGTTATTCAACATCTAAATATTTACACCTTTTAAATGCTACTTGTTGAGCTTCCAAAATTTGATTTGGTATCTAAGCACATATGATAGGATTATTAAACAGTTTTATGAATTTTAGATAAATAATTTGTTATTACAGTTTTGACCATAAGAGGAAAATGTACAATTTCTTCTATGAGAACAAAGTGGATGAGAGCAAAAGACATCCAGATCTATTCCACATGCCAGAGGAGGATCTGAAGAAGTAATTGATAACACACATTTTCATTGGCTAAGATTTAATTGAGAAGCTTTTTAAAAAAATATGTTTCTCTGTGTATTTTGGACGTTGCAAAATAATCTCATAATGGGAAAATTTCATTGTGTTGTCAGAATGAATATAAGAGCAAAACATGCCATATCAATCACTAGTTTCATGTACATGTATTTTTGTTAAAATCATGAGGGAGTCTAGAAAGCTCTTTTTATTATACAGTAAAACATGCTATAGTGAACACACTTATAATGAATTTACTCTTATAGTGAAGTGATTTTTGTTCCCCTTGGTTTTAAATACCGTATAAGCAGAAATTTAAGAAATTTAAGCAGAGGATTTAATTTTGGCATTATAAGCGAGCTAGGGTACTGAGATCGCTAGAATTGAATATCGCTAAAAATTAATTGCGTTTTATTTGTAATAGCTTCTTTAGTGAGCATGTTAAAATTGTTAAAATTACTTCTTGCTTAAAATAAAATACCAATTTTTAAGAACAAATCACTAAATTTGCGTCTCGCTAAAATTTCCACTTATACAGTAGTATTATGAACTTAACAGATATAACAAATTACATTTATAAGGGGAAAATTGGTCCATCCCTGGCACTTTGCCTCTAGTCTTAAATTACTCTAGTCTCATTGGTCAGTGAAAATTAAAAAAAAAGTATTTTCTCAGATAAAAAAAAAAAAAACAATCTGCAGGTTTCAAGAGAAAGTTGCCATTTATGCAAAGAAATATGATGCTGGAAGAAAGGAGAAAATAGAAAAGGTATTTGATTTTAAGAATGCATTTTTTGGTTATAATTATTAGCTCACCTGAGCCGAAGGCTCAAGTGAGCTTTTCTGATCACATTTGGTCTGTAGTCCGTCTGTCCGTCCGTCCGTCTGTAAACTTTTCACATTTTTGACTTCTTCTCAAGAACCACTGGGCCAATTTCGACCAAACTTGCCACAAAGTATCCTTGGGTGAAGGGGATTCAAGTTTGAACAAATAAAGGGCCACGCCCTCTTTCAAGGGGAGATAATAAAGAATTAGTGAAAAATTAATAGAATCATTTAAAAATCTTCTTCTCAAGAACCACAAAGCCAGGGAAGATGAAACTCATGTGGAAGGATCCTCAGGTAGTGTAGATTCAAATTTGTTCAAATCATGACCCCCGGGGGTAGGGCGGGGCCACAATGGAGGATCAAAGTTTTACATAGAAATATATAGGAAAAACCTTTAAAAATCTTCTTCTCAAGAACAGCAAAGCCATGATGAGTCATATTTATATGGAAGCATCCTCAGGTAGTGTAGATTCAAGTTTGTTCAAATCCTGACCCCCGGGGGTAGGGCAGGGCCACAATGGAGGATCAAAGTTTTACATAGAAATATAAAGGAAAAACCTTTAAAAATCTTCTTCTCAAGAACAGCAAAGCCATGATGAGTCATATTTATATGGAAGCATCCTCAGGTAGTGTAGATTCAAGTTTGTTCAAATCCTGACCCCCGGGGGTAGGGCAGGGCCACAATGGAGGATCAAAGTTTTACATAGAAATATATAGGAAAAATCTTTAAAAATCTTTTTCTCAATAACAGCAAAGCCCAAATTGGTCATATTTATATGAAAGCATCCTCAGGTAGTGTAGATTCAAGTTTGTTCAAATCATGACCCCTGGGGGTAGGGCGGGGCCACAATGGAGGATCAAAGTTTTACATAGAAATATATAAGAAAAATCTTTAAAAATCTTCTTCTCAAGAACAGCAAAGCCATGATGAGTCATATTTATTTGGAAGCATCCTCAGGTAGTGTAGATTCAAGTTTGTTCAAATCATGTCCCCCGGGGGTGGGGCGGGGCCACAATGGAGGATCAAAGTTTTACATAGAAATATATAGGAAAAATCTTTAAAAATCTTTTTCTCAATAACAGCAAAGCCCAAATTGGTCATATTTATATGAAAGCATCCTCAGATAGTGTAGATTCAAATTTATTCAAATCCTGACCCCCAGGGGTAGGGCAGGGCCACAATGGAGGATAAAAGTTTTACATAGAAATATATAAGAAAAATCTTTAAAAATCTTCTTCTCAGGAACAGCAAAGTCCTGATTGATCATATTTAAATGGAAGTATCCTCAGGTAGTGTAGATTCAAGTTTGTTCAAATCATGACCCCCTGGGGTAGGGTGGGGCCACAAAGGAGGATCAAAGTCTGAAATAGAAATGTATAGGAATATATCTTCTGATGAAGAACTGCAAAGCCATGATTAGTCATTTTGATATGGAAGCATCCTCAGGTAGTGTAGATTCAAGTTTGTTAAAATGATGACCACAGGGGATAGGGATGGGGCATAATGGGGGATCGAAAATTTTACATAGGAACATATAGGAAAATATCTTCTTCTCAAGAACTGAAAATCATGTTTAGTCATTTTGATATGGAAGCATCCTCAGGTAGTGTAGATTCAAGTTTGTTCAAATGATAACCCCTGGGATAGGGAGGAGCCACAATGGGGGATCAAATTTTTACAAAGGAATATATGGGAAATTTTTTTTTAAAATCTTCTCAAGTACAACAAAGCCATTTGTTATATTGACATGGAAGCATCATCAGGTAGTTTAAAATTCAAGCCCCCCCCCCCCCCCCCCCCCCTTGTAATCTTTTCAATACTGAACTGATTTGTGCTTTTGCCTTGCCAATGTGCTCAGGTGAGCGATGTGGCCCATGGGCCTCTTGTTAAATTTTTACCTTCACTGCAATGTTTATTTGATGCAAAAACTTTTGTTTTTAAATCAAGAAGGTAGATTCATTTATATTAAATTTCCCATTTTTTTTTCCAGACAGCAATCCGAATAAAAATCACAGAGGCTGTTAGGAAACAAATGGTGCAGTCGCAGCAGTTGTCCATGGTGCAGGTGTGTGGGGCCTGAATCGTATCCATAAAATCAGGGTTAATTCTATGTCAGGGTCATGGGTGTCTTTTGTTGAGGTATTCCCATCTATGGCCAACATTGTCATGTAAACCTACATATGGAGTCTGAATCAATTTTGATGACTGGAATCAGTCAACTAAGCTTTAAGTAAAAAAAGTATAGTATTGTTGTGTTTCATCTCATTTATTCACTTGAATAAGAACCATATAGCCTGTTCATTTAACAAGAGTTGAATTGCCCTCTCTTATGAATTAGAATAATAATCAGTGGTTTATAAATGTATCACCTGAAGTAAAATTTTTAATCAGTTTGTAGGAAAGTTGTGAGACAGAGGAAAAAATTCTTTTCTAAATGTATACCGGGTACTTCAATGTATTTTAATAGGGAAAAAAAATCCTTGTAGCTTTTGATAGCAACTTTGAACCAGATCCAATAAAAAATCCCCCCCCCCCTTGTCCAATTTTCTTAGCAGTGAGGGTGTTTCTTATGCCAAGTATGGTACCTTATTTCTTGTTTCTGATACTTTGATCTACATTTTGTCACACTCATTTTCTGACAGGAATTTAAAATGTGTGTTGTCATCAGGAGAAATTTAATACCTGAGCATCATTGGTCAATGTTTCACTCACTCACTCATAACAAAATCATGTATTAATCATTATAATTAGAGCTATGCATCAGAAACTGTCAATAAAAGTAACCATATGAGCCAGTTTAATCTCAGAATAGATATTAAAAAAATACCGTAGACTTAGAAATCGGAAAAAAAACTACAGGAGTTGGCAAACCTACATTGTGTAATGTTATCAGTTACATTACTGGTAATATTTTCAATAAATGAAATACTATGATTTCTCCCTATTTAAAGTCCCCAATAAGTAAAGTAATACATGTACCATGTAATTAAACAAAAAATTAAAAACCTTGAATGAAATGTTTCACATGTAAAAGTGGATGTACATGTAAATCAAAGGTGGACATAGTGTGTGTGTGTGTGTGGGGGGGGGGGGGGGGGGGGAGCTTCATATATCTAGACAACCCCTAGGATATTTGGTATAAAATTAATTTGTGATATACATGTACAACATGGCTTTGGAACAAAGTCAACAAACAACCAACTTCTTCCTTAAATTTTCAATGTATACATTATTTATATGAAATAGAAAACAAATTTCCTGTGTGAAATCCTATCTCTAGTCTACTGCCTATTAATATTTTATCAAATATTGTTTTTCTAGCCATTTTTAGTTTGCTTTAAAACTTCCATGCTGGAGACATCAGAAATAGAATGCAATGAAAAGTAAACAGTATTTCACAGTGTATGAGAAATTAATATTTTTAGAAATTCCTTGTGCATAGCTCTAGTCTTAATGATTGCTAATTATGAACCATTTGCACATTTAATTATAATCTGTTCCTGAACAAAACTACAGCCCCAGATTATTGAAAATACAACTCCTGAAAGAAGAAATGTTTTGAATTACGTAAGTCCTGGGACAGTTCTAGAGAAGAAAGCAACATTGCTAGCCAAAGGTGATGGACTGACATTTATTGGTAGTCATGTGAGTAGCTTTATACTTATGATAATCAGTTTAGAATATCTAGAAAATTAAGCATGACATAATTCATGAGAATTTAAAGAGGACACTTTTTCTGTGTTTGAGTGCACCATGCACACAGAATAATGTAAAAATAAATAGCAGTTTTTATGAAATAAAATGCCTTGTGTATTTATATTTTGTAATTTGTACTGTATATGCAGGTGTACAACAGTAAAGAGGGCAACATTCACTCAGGAGCCCCTCCTCCCTGGCTGTTGTCCTCAAATGAGGAGTCTACCAATAATGAGATAGGTCCTACTGAGGAAACTTTTAAGGCTCACTGTAAGTAACTGAATTTGTAGTATTCATCTGTCCTTTTTCTAGATGTATCATAGATTCTTTTGTGAATCTTCTTTGTGTTTTTATGTTTAATTTTACGATTCATTTCAATGATTGCTAGTTTTTCAGAATCAATGAGTTTTTTCATGTCACTTTTGTTAATATTAACTAATATATTGAAAATATATTTTGGTTACTTCCTAAGCAGAAGACATTTTGAAATGAAATTTCTTATAGTAAAGTAACTTACACTGTTTTTCAGTTCTCTAAACAATTAATTGTCTATACTTACAAACTGCATAAAACATTTTAGAGAAATTATGAAATAAACTTGTATTACCTCAGTCATATATTACATGTGCTGTAGCACAATTTCATAGCCAAATATAGTTTTGTTTTTTTTTTTTTTTTAGTGGAGAGGGAAAAGAAAAAGAAACTTCCTGCGAACAGAGTGGGTGCCAATTTTGATCACCAGCAGAACACAGATCAGTCATGGCTTCCATCCTTTGGGAGGGTGTGGAGTAAAGGGGGCAGGCAGCAGTCAAAGTATGTCATTGTCCAAAGGCTGGCTAGTTTGAAATATTTGATGATGCAGAAGCCTTGTTTAAAGATTTTTAGCTCTACTGGTCAGAGACCAGTAGAACTTATGTGATAGTAAGGTATCTGTCATCCATCTCTCCATCTGTAAACAATTTTTCTAAATTTTAATTTTCCTACAGTTTTGGTCTGATTTCAATATAACTTGGCACACAAGTAGACTACACTAAGGTTCATAATTCTGTATTTTGGTTTTTTGATTTCAATGAACGGTATTGCCATGGTTATTAAAAATAGAAATTTCAGTGAAATGCTTTCAAAATGCTACTCCTCCTGCAGTTTTGGTCTGATTTCAATATAACTTGGCACACAAGTAGACTACACTTAGATACATACTGTAATTCTGTTTTATCATTTTTTTGATTTTGATGAATGGTGTTGCCATAGTTACTGATACTAAAAATAGAAATTTCTGTGAAATACATTCAGAATGCTACTCCTACTACAATTTTGGTATGATTTCAATGAATGGAGTTGCCGTGGTTAGTATAAATAGAAAATACTCTAAAATTCTTTCAAAAGGCTACTCTCCTACAGTTTTAGTCGGATTGCAATGAATCTTGTCACAAAAAGAGACTAAACCAAGGATCATTATTCTGTTTATTGCTGCTGCAAAGTTTCAAGTCCAAGTGCTACTTTTCTCTTCCTTTGTTATAAGTACAAACCAGTAGAGCTTCAGTCTTGTCAGAGACTTCTGGTTTTGTATTAGCAATGTAGTAATCCTTCACTGAGATCATTTATTTGGAAACTAGTTAGTTTTAAGGGTATATAAATAAATAATCAATGCATAATTATTTTAATATATTTACGGTGACACCGTTGTGGCAAGCGCAGTTGTGTACCATAAAAAAAAGCTTACATAGCTTACACTTTAAATTTTGATCCGCCTCTTCAAACTTCAAAACTGCACAAGACAGTCTAGACTGTGACATCACATGACGTATGTAAGTTGTATTTCCGTAACTGAGTCAAAATAGGCCTTTTGCAGTTTTGTAACAAAAGGTATTGTAGAGTACCGGTAGATGCAATTATTATTTGTTTCGTTTAAGCTTTCTGCAAGAACTAAATCTTAATACTTGATATTTGTGGTACTGTTTATTCACCATTATCGCTTGGAATCATTGTAGCGAAGGAATTCTGGGAAGGTTTCATAGAAAAATTTGCTTGATGAATATACAGATTTTATTTCGAATTTTCTCTGTTCTTACATGTTAGTCTATTGAGCTCACTGTGCTTGCTATAAGAAAAATTCATGTGTGCAAATTTCAAATTTAGAAATTTCATTTAACAGTGCATAGCACTTTGCACTATGCCAAAAGGAATACATTTCTAGAAAATAAAGTTAATTCATGTACATGCATGGAGTTCGAGATAACGAGGTTTGACTCTATATGGGAACTGTATTTTGGTACTTTAACTATGGAAAAATTATTTGCAGAAAGTATTTCCAAAGACAACATTCTACAAAGAAGATTTCACCTAGTTCAACATATCAGGCAACTAGTTCAAGAGAAACTGGTTCCTCCAGTTTGACAAATAATACTGCAAATGACCTGCATTTAGCAACAGACAGTATAGTTAATTTCAATGGTGAATATCCTTTTCATTCTAACATTGACACCAACTCCTCAAACATTTCACAAGTGGCCCTGAATGTGGAAAATCCAGTTAGTGACTTTTCAGGATTTCAGCTGGACCAGAGTGGAGTTATGGGGTCAGATGCAAGTTTTTCATATGTTCCTGGAAATGTAAAACCATATGTGAAAAAACATAGGATTGAAAATTCAACATCACTCAGTGAAGTTGTTGGGTATGCAGAGCACCATGTATTTGAATCATTTCAACATCAGAATCAGACTGGTGTTGAAAATGCATTTGTGAACCATTCGTCTATATCAAGAAATGTGAAACCCTACGTTAGAAAACGACATGTGGAAGAAGCAGGGTCATCTCATTCACAACTTGTAGATTTCATTCCTATGATACCAACACCAATTTTGGATGCTCAATCACATCCGGCAAATTCCAAACTAAAGAAAAGAGCAGGATGAATTTTGTGTTTGGTTACGTATTGTTTGTAAACTTGTTTTCTGACTTATTATAAAAACATATTTAGTAAACACTTTTTCTTTAATAGAAAATTTTAATTAAAACATGAACACATTGTACAAATTGCTCAAGAAATGTATAATGATTTTTGTATAAAGGTTATGTACAAAAGTTTCAACAACAACAAAAAACTGGATTATAAAAATGCAAATTTTTCAAAGCACTAAGATTACATGTGTATTTTGCAAATTTCAATGAATAATAAACATTTTTCTGCTGGAAAAGAAGTTGTAATAGACCTTTCAAAATGGATATGGAGATTGTCAAGATGCATGTATAGAGTATTTTGAAGGAGGGGGGAAGGGGGGGGGGGGTAATGTTTACTAGGTATGGATTATTGGTTAACTGAAATGACTTCATGTACACACAATTGAATAGAAATTAGATTGCCTCTATAATGGAAGTGTTACTTTAATCTTAGTCCAGCTGGATATCCGTATGATATTTTCTCACTAGTTCCATATCCATAAAGTATTAATCCAAATGTTATATCTGAGTCAGTGTGATAGATATGGTGAAATCCTGTGGAAATTTCTATAGTTATGGTAATATATTCTTCTTGTGTATCTGAGTTTGTGACCGATTTCATGTTATTTTGATACTTTTGTATAGGTTGGCTATCTATGAGTATTCCATTTATCTGAGTGGCTAGTATCGTCATGACGACGTAATGGCGGAACGATGACGTAGATGGTGTTAAAAATCTATAATCATTTGAAAATTGTTCGTTTGATGGTATTAAAGTCATAAAGGTTGATTCATATGATGAAAAAACTACAGGCATCATTATTTCATTTGCTTTAGCCATGCATGGTAATTGGTTACCATAAGCATAATAGAACAAATCAGTTCCTCCACCTCGCTTAACATCAATTCCCGGAATAGTCACCGCGTTTTCATTATGATCCTGAAATTGAAATTGATAAGTATCCTGCTTCGATTCTGCAAAGTTTGGTATGATATATTTGAAATCGAAATTTTTAACTGGAATCATATATTCCATAACACTGTTTGCCTCAAATATTGAGGAATCACTGTAACTTCCCGAAATCACAGCTATTGGGTTACTGCTTTCAATTAAACCAAAGAGATAACCCGTTGCACTGAACTGAAATGTTTGAAATTCTGTAGATTGGTCAATATAAAGAACTTCATTTTCAGTATAATTAACACCTTTCCATGTTATATAGCTGGGGGATGAAAGAATCGTTAACTGTATTGTGGTATTTTTATATTGCGACGCAATGGCGATGTTGGCAAAATCACTATTGGACAATAAATATTTGGTCCCCAGATATCGACTCGGAAAGACCAGGAACCCTTCTGCCGCAGAGCAGCCGCACTGTATGACACAATGAACACTGATGCCATGTGAGGAACGGATCGTCACAGCCTTGCTGAAAATCCCATCCGAATCCATAGCAACTGAAACCGGAAGTGAAACTTCTTTTCCCGCGTTGGCGGAGACCTGAAATGTGTTGTTGACTCCAGGATGCACTGAGTCAAAGACCACAAAGGCGTCCTCTTTTGCTGTGATTAATACCTGCACTTTTGTAACAGGCCCCTTGCTTTTTGGAAAGGCGATAAGGAATTCTTTACCATAATGACCTGTCAAAAATAATCGCGTTGAGAAGAAGCAAGTAAGATAAGTCGTTGGAGAGGTTTAATTTTTATCTCTGATTTTGCATATTAAATACATAGGTGCTTGATTTTGGTGCATAAGGAATTCGGTCTATGTACAATATTTTGTCAAAGGTTGACAGGAATTTTTCTGGAATTTGTTCTGGGTTATCAGAACATATAGAAAATCCACTATTTGAAAGGAAAAAATAATCTTACCGTCATCGCCAGAAGGCAAAGGACCCACGGAAGAACAACCTGAAAGATTATAATATTAAACGATTACATTTGTTATTTTCTTTCCCTACTAATCATATCAAAATTAATATGCACCATATATACACTACATGTATTTATTTTACTTGTATAAAGAAGAATGAAGGCTGGGTATTTGTTGTCGTTTGGGGAGGGTTAATCGCTCAGATTTTATAGAAAATACACGAATACACATACAAAGTGTCAGAACGTGGAATGCAAGGCACTTTTTTTCCTACCATAGTCACAAAAAATACAGGTGAATGTTGCAGGGAGACACATTTCTCTTATGGGCGGAAAATTCTCATTTGGATAATTGAAATATTTGAATTTACATATATGATATGGCTGTAAGAGTGCAAATGTGTTAATGGAAAAACCATTACAGGTACAAGAGTTCATTGATATACATGTATGTTGAGAATGTCACTTTGTTGTTTTATCGTTTTTGCCTAAATGAACCTAAATATTGCCCGAGGCTAGTATCATGTTTTTACACAAGCATACATCTTAATTGTCGAAATAAATAAAATGTGTCAATGAAAGGAAAATTATTTCAATATTTTACCTCGTACTTACATTTAGAAAGTTTTTGTTTAACAGAGTATAGCTCTCCTTTAAGATTGTCCACTTTAATGGCTTGGTCTTTGACAAGTTGTTGTAAAACACTAAGTTCCTTTTTAAGAATATCTGTTTCATCGGGTCCAGTACAGGTGTCTGAGATGGAACCGAGTCTTTGACCACTGTAAGAATTTGTCCAGTACATTATCAGAAAAACAACACAAAACACAAACTTTTCAGTTCTCGCCATTCCGCTAACTTGTCAACGAATACAGGTGCAGCGAAAATGATTGAAAACTTTGTTACTGAGTCATTTCAACAAACCTGAATGAAATGTATTAATATAAGTCTATGTAAATGTGTACGCTTGTCATTTTTGTGAACGTGTTGCTTGACCTCTCGCGGATTTTGTTTATCTAAAGGATATTGGTCGGCTCATTTAGAGGGTTTTGTTTTCTTAAGGTATAACATCACATGGTTGAATGGCGGGACACTGGATGTCAGAAGTACACCTTGAACGATTTTTATCAAACATTTATCGAGTCATATGAGTACACCAGAATGGCATCCGATCTGATAAGATGGTGATGGTGTCTTGTCCGTTCTTTTTCCATTTGGTCGTGTAGGACAATACGTAGGTGTTACTTTAACCGTAAGGAGATATCTTGTTTTTATTCTGCTGGACACGAAACCTCAACGAGAACTTGTCTATCAAATGGCTCCTGTTATAGTGTACTCCTTTTAGCTAGAGTGGATGTGTCTTTATCGTTTTAGAATTATTAAATAATCTGAAAAAATAATTAAATCAAAATATCAAGCAGAAAACTTGTTTTCTTTTTTTATTTATTTATTTTTTTTATTTGCAGTAAACATAAGAATGCAATAGCATAGTAGATTTTTTTCGTTTTTTCCCCGTAATTTCCAAAGGTATAGGAGAATTGTGTCACTAAACCTTCATTTGTATTTTCACATATCAGTATTTGGTGTTGAAATAGTTATATTGGTCTGATTAATTCCTTCAAATCATTACCAATGAAGGCCGATGGATACAACCGACTTATGAAGATTAGGGCTTTTTCTTGTTGTCAGTAGCAGTCAAGTCTAAATTAATCTTGTTCAATCTTTAAGAAAGGCCCATTAGTTAGTGGGAGGGGGTTAAAACCTTAGTGGAAATGCAAATGTATAGCTCATACATATACATGTACGCATCTGAGTGCAACCTAAATCCGAATGTTAGTGGAATTAAGGACTCCAATATGGTTGCCGGAAAGGTTAGAAAAAAACGTTTACACAAAAAGAACAATTAATTTAAGCTGTTTGTTTTTGCATTTCTGTATGATTTTTGCAAATTATTTTTTAACCCTTTCCGCCTTCCATACTTCAGTAGAATTCTGAAGATGTCCTCTTGTAACTCAATTTTGTGCAATGGATGCTTACTCCTACATAGAAAAAATGTAGCTACGTGCCTCTTGTGTTCGAAAAATAGAAAATTTGGCTCGGGCTCGTAAGGCCTAGTTGCAATGTACTAAAAATCACTTGGGTTTTAATATTCTATCCCCCAATGCCACTGAATGACAATACACCAAACATGTAGTAAATACAGTAAAACTAATTTCAATCATCGAAATGACTCATTTGTTGCAGAAAAAATTGCTATATCAATCCACTATGCGGGGAGTTAAATTTGTCATCAGAGTATATTTCCATATTTAAAACTATATGATTAATCAACCGTTGATTGATTTGGGTCCATGTACAATTTATTTGTCTAACTTTGTCATCAAGAATATAATTGCTATGCGTAATAATATTTTTGTACAATGTATATTACAATGAAATTTAACCTTGGTCTTAACTTTTGAATGAAAAAAAAGATGGGGCTTTCGTATTTTACATGTACATGTACATTTCACTTGACAAGTCCTTTCCAAATATACTCCGATATTTTTACCCTGAGGCCTTGACCTTGAAGTTTGATCTACTTTTCAACAATTTATCTTTGTCAAAAGAGATAATTAAGGCTTTCATATTTCACATGTATATTACCTATCACAAGACCTTTCCAAATGTCCTCTGAATGTTGACCCGTGAACTTAATTGACCTTGAAGTTTGACATGCTTTTTAAAAATTGGAAGATTGTTTTTAACTTTTGAATGAAAGTAGATAGAGCAATCATGCATACATTACATGGACATTACTTTTGACAAGACGTATCCAAACTTGACCCCGTGATCTTGAAATTTGATCTTAATTTTCAAAAATTTTAACATAAGCAAGAACTTTTGAAAGAGAGAAAACAGGTGATAAACAAATACTCAAATTTGTATGCTTATATACACGGCATACATGTATGTTGTGAAAATTTTATTATGGCAATGATATCTCTGAAATATTTCGAGTTTCTGCATGAGAAAAAGTAATCATCTCTGTGAAGTTGACCCACGCAGTCAAGGTTAACTAGATAAGGTCATAGGGTATATGGGGTATTAGAACATTGCTATCATGCAGTATTAAAGATATCCACACTTGACAAAGACATCAGGAAAGTCAGATTTAAGCGAGTCTGTGAATAAAATATGCACATAAAATTTTTTTTTATTTTAAGTAGACAAATATCGTTACAATAAATAAATAGGCACATATATATTTTTTTTAATTTTAAGTAGTCAAATAGTCAAATATCGTTACAATAAATTGAAAGACCAAAAAACAACAACAACAACAACTGTTAATTATTTTAATTTACTTGTAAATGCTTTGCAATTATTATTTTTTTTAATGAATAATACATAATTTATTGGTACATCGTGCATCGAACAGTTTTTTTTTTGTTTTTGTTTTTGTTTTTTTTTTTTTGGCATTTCAATATTCTTTCAAATCCCGAGCAAAACTGTGTTTCTTTCTATAAAGTCAGTACTTATTGATAAGTACTAGCAGCATACAAATATTTCCAGTAACTCCATCTAGGGACCGATACTGTTATGACCCAACATTGGCTGTACTTCTAAGGAAGGAACGCAGGGTGTCATGAACTGGGCGCGGGGGGTGGATGGCATTGCCATTAACATTCTTTATTGGTATGATCGCTTACAAATTTGCAGAATCTTGTTCGTAGTGGACTCCATTTCTCTTGTGATTCTCATTCTCTCCTTCCGACGGTCACAACTTCGATTATCTTCACGTGCTTTTTGACCAACCATTGCTTTTGCTTTTCTTTCAGAAAGAGGTTTTTGTTTGCAGATTGACAATTCTTGTCTTCTACCATAGGATGCGTGTTGTTTCATAAGACTATGATCACCACCACTTTTGCTCTTTGTCATCTGCTCAGCAGACTTCAACAGGTTCAAGCCTTGGAAAGATTTATTTTGTCTAGATGGAATCGGTATTTCCATAGATCTGTGGTCAAGATACGTTTGTTTTCCGATGATGTTCATCCCTGTTTCGTTTGGTTTTGGTTGAGTTTTTTGTTCAGCTTTTAAAGGAAATTTGGCCAGAAGCGGTAAAGAGGTTGTGAGCTCGTGAGAGCGCATGCTGTGGTTGACGTGAATGTTCCTCCTGGTATTTGATAAGGATGGAAGCTTGCAAGACGAGTTCGTCGGACTGGTAACTTTGGGACTAAGGTACACCTCTTTCCCTATTATTTGTAATTCAGGAAAACTAACAGCTTTTGCCTGGTGGTTTCCTTGCATGCATTGAGGCATATTTACAACAGCATATTTCTCTTCGCTGGTTAGTTTCCTCACTTTCAAAGGTTGTGGTTTTGGAACCCTGTCCGTTTTTGTTTCAAAATCACGGAACTTTTCTTGCTCTTTAGCCTTTATATTTCTTTCCTGTGTTTTCACTGGTATTGAATTTACATTGCCTACAAATGAAGGTCAAATTACCATTTTTAAAAATTAATCATCGCACTAAAAATCTACATTGATGCTAAGAATTGAAAATACTATACTTTCGTGAAAATCATTAACGTAAGTATTTCTGAGGGCGCATTAGTACCGCACATCTTTAAATTCAAGGAACACTGATTGTTAAATTTTTGGCATGTTGTGTATTGCAATTCTATTCAACATGCAGTGTTCAAATCATAAAATAATGTAATTGCGTAAAACTAGTGATTATGTTTCTTACCATCTCCTGTAGAAAAGTATTTATCTTGGATGGAAGCATCAATTTCCAGTAAACCATATTCTAGTATTATTTCTAACCTTGACCCAAAGGATCCGTAGAACCTGAAAATAAACCATATGAATAAAAAAAAAATCGAAAACCTTTGAGTACTCTTTAAAAGGAGGATGAGCTGAACATCTCACGATCAACAATAAATACTGGTTTGATTTCTAAGTCCTTAGACTTTATCGATTGACGGTATATAACTTAGACAAACTACAGTGCGGTTTCCTCTGTTTTTGTACTCACTTTTGTGTCTTAGTCATGAAGAGATGAGATAAACTCCTTAGCTTCGATTTTTTAATGCGAAGAGCTTTAGCCTGCAGTACAAACTACTATGACGTCACAACTATTATGACGCATGGAATAATCAAGATCTTGCAATCTTGTGATTTTGAAGACTTTTTTTAAATAACGTCATAAGTCTAAAGGAGTTCCATTCTTTACGACGTCAAGTAAATTCTAAAGACGATAATGCTTTGAGAATTTTTGTTGTTGTTTTTATTAAGAATTGCATTTGTTAAATTTGTTGGGTTTTTTTTTTTTGTTTTTTTTTAATAAAAAGACCAGAGGAAGAGAAAAAGTGCTCGTATGAACACTCAACGCTGCTGTTTTTGCTTTTGACGATATATGCAGACTTAACGCTGGACAAGATTTTCTGACCTGTTCCTTTCTAATCAATTCAAATCATACGAGAAAATTAATTTTTATGTTTCTTATTTCTAGGGGATGTCTTCTTTCTTATACTGAGAGATTCTGACACCATATAAAAAAGATTTTAACAATTAATGTTTTCCAAAGCCAATTTAATCATTTTAACACTTATAATGGCAGTTATTAAAGTTTACAAATTTGCATAATTCTGAAAATGTAATTATTAAAAATACTTTCTTTATCTGCTGACATTAAAGTCCAAGTTTGATTTCCATTTTTGGTCAACATTTTTCCATTCGTATTACAATGTATATAAAAGTAATGAATTCGCTATTTCAATCATTAATGCATGACTTTATACAAACAAACAAAACAAAAACAAACAAAACAAAAACAAAAACAAATTTAACTCTTTTTTATTTGTTAGAGACGTAATTTGTTACAGTGTATATTCGATCGATCACTTTATATTAATAATATGTTTTAAGATTACATGAAATGAGATTTATTTCACTGTAAGCGTAAACTCATTTTTAAGTTTTTCACTATAATCGAATTTTTACTGTATACATGTATATGAGTATGTAATAATGCAAATGATTCATTGAAGTTAAAGCAGCACATTTTACTTACAAGTTCTTGTATATTGTAAGTTAATAATATTAATTAATAGAAAGACACAGCGTTTTACCGATACTCTGTAGAAGGTTGATTCTGAACTATTGGAAGAAACAGATCTCTATTCTTGTTTATGTATGCGAATTTCAGTGGAAGAAAGTTTATAAAGGTAAATTATTAACACTATCAATACCTTTTTAATCGATATGTTCTAATTCAGTGTATCATTTTATCTTTAATGAGGGTCATTTTATCTTTTTATTAACATCATGTTTGTTAAATTCTTCTGTTTCTAGTTACCTTAGTATTTTTTTAGTCAAAAGATTTTTTTTTATTCTGATACTTTACTTGCAATTTAAATTTCATGTGCATCTTCAGAAAAAAGTCATTCAAATATGAAGTGGTCTACTGGCATCGTGTTGATTCTTTCTGTGATTTCATTTTCTGGTGCACTCCTCCAAGGTCACTCCAATGCAACTGCATCCTCTAACGAACATACTGACCTTGATGTATACAAACAACTGCTTCATCTTGAAACAAATTTGGTTTCAGTTTTTACAGAATTGACAACATTAAAAGAACAAAATTTGCAACAACAGAAGACATCTGAACAACAACAGGAATTAATACAGACGCTCAACCAGACGATTCAGAATTTAAAAAGTGAAAATGGTGTCTTGAAAGACAAACTGGATAGATTGAATTCCACAATCTGTCAACAAAGTTATTCTGATGGTGAAATCGCAAAAAAACTAGAACCACAGATACAGACTCTTTCACTTGCAATTTTGGAATTGAACAAGTCCAGTTCGGAAGACTTTCAAACATTAAGAAATATCTTCAGAAGCAGGGAACAAGAAGTGACAAAAAATATGACTTCTGTCGTCAGTAACCTTAAACTAAATGATAGATACTTATCGCTTTCCCTGTTGGATGTTCAAAACAATATCTCAGCGCTAGGATCATTGCTCCAACAACAACAGAAGACACAAGCAGAACAGCATAAACTAACGCAAGCGAGAATACAAAATCTCACTTTTTCATTTAACAACAGCACAGCAATAACGCAGGCAGGAATACAAAATCTCACTTTTTCATTTAACAGCAGTACGACAGAACTACGTTCTTCTCTTTCCGATCTCCAAACACGTATGTATGCAAAGTGTTACTTTAGTATAACTTTGATTTGCTTCTGTATGAAGCATAAGACCTTCAGTAAGTTTTCAGAATCATTGGAATACCGGTATTCTGCATATTTAATGTTATTCAAAAAGAAATATAATGGTGTCATACAAGTTTTATGAAATATTGTAGCTAATTTAAAATTTTGAAATCACCTTTATCCTCAACTCAGAGGGTCTCAAACATGTTTGTAGACGATCTTGAGAAATAATTATATATATATATATATATATATATATATATATATATATATATATATATATATATATATATATATATATATATATATATATATATATATATATATAATGTTTCACTTTAATTGGTTATCAATTGTATTATTTATATAATTTTTATTTCTTCAAGGTATTGAGACAACCGTTGCTTTTACAGCGGGAGTTGGAGATGGTGATAATAGAGTATTTTCTTCTGGACAAACTGTTATATTCAGACAGATTATCTACCAAGTGGGAGGTGGATATAACCCTCTAACAGGAATATTTACCGCCCCAAAGGCTGGGCTGTATGTTCTATTTTGTACCAGTGTGGCATTTCACGACGAAATTTTCTGGACAAAAATAATGATTAATGGTTCAGTTAAGGCAGGCGTCATGGCTTATCATCCATCTTCAAATATGTATGTCTACCAGTCAGCCTCCAACCTTGTTGTCCAGCAGTTACAGGTGGGGGACCGAGTCTGGATACAAGTATATCAAGGTAGTCATCTGTACTCAGAATTTCCAGATACAACATTCTCTGTCATTATGATCAATGGATCATTCTAATATCGTAACTAGTGCACGACTTCAAATAACTAGAAGTGAATAGTTTTCGAATAAAATCTGTATTTGTGAATTATATCTTAAATATTTTCACATAAATATCGTATGAAAAAAAACATGTCTTTTTTTTTTGGTTTATGAACTAATAGATGCGTTGTCAAATATTATGTTTCAATGACTGATTCTCTTCAAAGCGATAAAGATTGTATGCTTTATCCTGTAACAGTGAAATATGCTTATAATATTGTTGATATTCGATATATTGTGTTAATATTCTCATACTATTGAAATAATGCTTTTTACATAAATGTATTTGTAAGCTAAATACAAATTGCTGGTATTAAATGAGTCACTTTAGGGAGAGATAGTGAAAATCATCTCAAAATAGCAGGAACACGCCCATGAAGTTCTGTAACAGTTGACTTTGGCGCCGGGGCCAGCAACGCTGAGATTTTCTCAAATTTATATGAGATATCTCATAAACTTTAAGTTTTTCTAACCAACTAGCCACCAATTGATTTTATTCTCAAACTCGGATCTGTCTTTGAGTTTTTCTCAAATCTAAAATTTTTCTCAAACGTGCTGCCACCAACGTATTTTCAGACTCAGCTGAAAAAAAAAACAACTGAGATTAGTGAATAAATACCTAAAGTAAAATCTCACATGATTATACTACAGATTATTACAAAAACGCAAAAGCCCATTAGTATCAACTTGAAGTAAATAAAAATTACACCCCACTATCTCTATTAGAAATTTTTTCTTGTAATTCAGAGACAATAATTTCTGGTCATAAAAGCATTTGGCTTCAAGTTAAAACGGGAAAAATGTACCAGATGTAAAAGAAGATGGGTGAACAAGGCGGGCGAAGTGCCTATAGTGCGACAAATATGAGGTGAAAAATAAATTCTCAATTTTATCAAAATTTTCTATGATATTTCATCTAACATTAAGGTATAGTTTATGTAAAATCTCTACAATTTACAAAATTCTCACAAAGACTGAAATTATTTGCCTGTGAAATAGCATACACACACTAAAGAGGACAAAAAGGACCATTTTCTCATACTTTAACAAATTTTTTCGATATGAGTGGGTCTTCGCTCCATTTTTTTGAAAGTTAATCCTAAAAGTTTGCATAAAAATATACACTTTTTGGTTTACAAAAACATGGAGCAAAGAGCCACTTTACTTTAAAATTACACTTTTATGACAAAGCATTCACATCTTTTCGAGAAATACTTGAAGTCCATTAAGTCAAGGGTCATATCACAAACATGATTTAAATGTCACTGATCATCAGGACCTGTGTAGCGTAGTGATTAGCGTGTTAGTCTCAAAGCAATATGATACTCCGGATTTTCATTGCTAGGGTTCGAATCCCACGAATACCATTTCATTTTTTAATAAAAGAATTTTTTTCAGAGATCTTTTCTTCTCAGAAAAGTTTTGTTGATCATAATTTTATAAATTTCAATAATGAGAACTTTATTTTAAATACTTAATTCACAAACTGAATATGATTTTTTTAATATCTGATGCTATAGGCATTCTGCACGCCTTGTTCACCCATCTTCTTTTATTAAACGTGGTATCGTTTAGTAATCCAAAACAGAGAAATTCTGCAGATTTTATATATTCAGAGAATAAAAATTAATGTAAATATACAAGAGGCCCATGGGCCACATCGCTCACCTGAATAAATATGGCCCTGCTGTTCTTCATCAGCAGATTTCTTCTCCTACATCACACGTAAAGCTTTGATCGCCTGTTCTAGCCACACCCTACCCAAAGGGGTCATGTTTTGAACGAAATTGAATCTACACTATCTGAGGATACTTCCATATTCATATGACTAATCATGGCTTTGCTGTTCTTGAAAACAGAATTTTAATGATGTCTGCCACCCTACCCTAGGGAGGGGGGCATGATTTGAACAAACTTAAATCTACACTACCTGGGGATGCTTCCATGTCAGTATGAATGATCATGACTTTGTTTGTTTATGAGAAGAAGATTTTCAAAGATTTTTTCCTATATATGTTCATATGTAAAACTTTGATTACCCACTGTGGCCCCATCCTACCCCCGGGGGTCATGATTTGAACAAATCTGATTCTACACTACCTGAGGATGCCTCCATATCAATATGTCTAATCGCGGCTTTGTTGTTCTTGAGATTTTTAAAGATTTTTCCTACGTCATGTAGTTATTCCTATGTAAAACTCTGATCCCCCATTGTACCCCCCCCCCGTTCATGATTTGAAAAAAAATTGATTCTACACTACATGAGGATGCCTACATATCAATATGTCTAAAGGTGGCTTTGTTGTTCTTGAGATGAAGATTTTTAAAGATTTTTCCTATATAAATATTCCTATATAAAACTTTCACACCCCCCCCCCCCCCATCGTGGCCCCAAATTACGCCCTGGGGTCTTAATTTGAACAAACTTGAATCTACACTACCTTAGGATGCTTCCATATCAATATAATTAATTGTTGCTTTTTTGCTCTTGAGAAGAAGATTTTTTAAAAGATTTCTCCTATATATATTTATGTAAAACGTTCATCCCCTATTATGGCGCCACCCTACCACAGGGGTCATGATTTGAACAAATTTGATTCTACACTATCTGATGAGGATGCCTCCACATCAATATGACTAATCATGGCTTTGTTGTTCTTGAGAAGAAGATTTTTAAAAGTATTTTCTTATATATTCCGATGTAAAACATTGACCTCCAATTGTGGCCTAATTGTGGCTTTGTTGTTCTTGAAAGAAGATATTCTAACAAGAGACTCATGAACCACATCGCTCACCTGAGCACTCTGGCTAGGAGTTCAGTATTTTATGAGTGGTATCAATCTATCCCTAAGGGGAGGGGGGCATGATTTGAACAAACTTTAATCTACACTAACTGAGGATGCTAACATATTTCTTTGACAAATCGTGGTTTTAGAAATTTTAAAAAGATTTTTTCCTATTAGTTTATCTTCTATTGTGGTCCTACCCTACCCCCAGGATTCATCATTTGAACAAACTTTAATCTACACTACCTGAGGATGCTTCCATATAAATATGATCAATCATAGTTTTGCTTTCTTGAGACGAAGATTTTTCCTATGTGAATCTCTGATCATCCATTGTGGCCTTACGCTACCCCCGGGGGTCATGATTTGAACAAATTTAAATCTACACTACCTGAGGTTGCTTCCATATAAATACTACAGTATGAAAAATCTTGGCTTTGCTGTTCTTGAGAAGATTTTTTCTATGCATTCCTATGTAAATCTTTGATCGCCCATTGTAGCCTCGCTCTACCCCAGGGGTCGTGTTTTGAACAAATTTGAATCTACACTACCTGAGGATCTGTCTGCATAAGTTTCATCTTTCCTGGCACAGTGGCTACGGAGAAGAAGACATTTCCTATGTATTACTCACAGGTACTTGTGGACAGCCGCACCCCCTCCCCCGAATATACACCTTGGGTCCAAAAATATTTTTTTTGTATTTTTTTCATAAATTATTCTTCTAGTACACGTTTACAATGTAATCCATATGAAAAATCTAAAAAATAACATAGAATTAACGTTTTATTAAAAAATCCTATCCGAGGTATTATAAAATAGAGAAGGTAAGTCACTTCCATTTGTTAACACTGGACCCCTCTTGGATATCAGGCCTGAAATATCATTTACTTATACTATATGTCACCAAAATGTGTCATGATATCTTGTTTCGGCAGATATTTTTGCTTTTAATCGTGCTATTTAATTGCCTAGGTATTCCACAATAACCTGGGTATTCATCGTCAAGCGTGAAAAGTGCTACAAGATTTAGAAATGTCAGAGTAGAAATTACGGAAGTGATCCAAAAACGACACCTAGCGTGTAACTCTCAAGTTCCGAGTGTTATAGAATAAAGGGAAAAGCCAGAAGGGGGGCTGTCCACAAGTACGTGTGGTATTACTATGTAAAACTTTGATCGTCCATTTCGGCCCCGCCCTACCCCGGGGGGTACATACTTGAATGTACACTACTTGAGGATGTGTTCATATAGGTTTCATCTTTCCTGGCCCAGTGGTTCTTGAGAAGATTTTTAAAAGATGCCATTAATTTTTAAGGGCATGGCCCTTCATTTGAACAAATCTGAATTCCCTTTACACAAGGATACTTTGCAGCAAGTTTGGTTGAAATTGGCCTTGTGGTTCTTGAGAAGAAGTCGAAAAAGTTTACAGACGATCGGACAGACAGATAGACAGACGGACGCCGGACAAAATGTGATCAGGTAAGCTAAATTTTTTCCTATATTTTTCTATGTAAAACTCTTATCCCCCATTGTGGCCCCACCCTACCCCCGGGGGTCATGATTTGAACAAATTTGAATCTACACTACCCAAGGATACTTCCATATCAATATGACTAATTGTAGCTTTGTTGTTTTTGAGAAAAAGATTTTTTAAAGTTTTTTCCTATATATGCCTATGTAAAACTTTGATCCCCCATTGTGGCCTCGACCTACCCCTAGGAGTCATGATTTTTACAAATTTGAATCTACACTATGTAATAAAAGTTCATATAAGTTTCAACTTTTCTTGCCCAATGGTTCTTGAGAAGAAGATTTTTAAAACATGACACCAAATTTTCTCAAATTCTTAATTATCTCCCCTTGAAAGAGGGTGTAGCCCTTCATTTGAACAAACTTGAATTCCCTTCACGCAAAAATGCTTTGTGGCAAGTTTGGTTGGAATTGGCCCAGTGTTTCTTGAGAAGTCGAAAATGTGAAAAGTTCACAGACAGACAGTCGGACGCCATACAAAATGTGATCAGAAAAGCTCACTTGAGCTTTCAGCTCAGGTGAGCTAATGAATAACTGTCTGGGCTTTTTTATTTACATGTATGTACATTGTAATCATAGGCATCGAGTATTCTGGGACATTGCGCCCCCTTTTCCAAAGCTTATCTTTAACTGTTAATTTTGTATAATATTGATCACTGAAAGGCCAGTTTCT